CTGACATCTGTGATATCATTTAATGCTATAGATAAATGAAATGGAAGTTGGAATATTATGAACAAATGTATGCCAATAAACTTGACAAGTTAGAGAAGAGAAACAAGTTCCGTGAGAGATTCAACTTTCTTCAGCTGGTTGTAGCGTTGTGGGGTTTGATTCCTGCTCAGGGCGCATGCCTAGGTTGGGGGTTTGATCCCAGGTGGTAGGCGATTGATATTTCTCTTTCGCAGATCTCTCTCTCTCTCTCTCTCTCTATTCCTCTAAAAATATTTTCAAAAATAATACAAGATTGCTCTGACCAGTTTGGCTCAGTGGATAGAGCGTCGGCCTGCAGACTGAAGGGTCCCAGGTTCGATTCTGGTCAAGGGCATGTACCTTGGTTGCGGGCACATCCCCAGTAGGGGGTATGCAGGAGGCAGCTGATCAGTGTTTCCAACTCTCTATCCCTCTCCCTTTCTCTCTGTACAAAATCAATAAAATTAAAAAAAATAATACAAGATGAACAATTGTATAGCTGGCCAATGAATTAAATACACAACCAACCTCACGACAAACAGCTCCTGGCATCTGCTTGTCCTTTCTTCCCCGGCCTTCTACTGTTCCTCCTTGGAAGGCGTTTTCCCCTCCTGTCCCCCATCTGGGTTTCCCTCTCACCCAGTCCGTATTGTGAGTGCACTGAGAGCTGCATCTTTGAAGTCGCCAAACAGGAGTTGCCCTCAAGGATGGTGGCCACAAGGTCATTCCATTCCCACCTCTGGGCCTGAGACGCCCAGAAAGCTGGGACTGGATTCTGGTTTGTCTTGGGAAAGTCACTTAACCCCTCCGGACCCATAAAATAGGGGACAGGGAGATGGGCCCTCCCTCATGAGGTGTCTGAAGAGGCAGAGAGAAATGACAAGTACTCACTAACAGTGCCTGGCACGTGTCAAGGGCTTGATTCTTTTCTTCCTGTGTGTCCCAGGCGTGATTTCACCTGGAGGGGGTGGGAGCAGGTGGGGAAGTATCTGAGGGTGGAAACTCGGATGTCTCTCTGTAGCCCCTCCCCCGTGGGTCTGGAGTCTGAACCCAATCCCCGCTAATTCCCTGTGGTGCGCTGAGGCTGGGCCCTCTCCTAAGAGGATTAGAGCGTTTGCTGAATTAGTGCTGTTCTGGGAGAGGGAACAGCCAGGGACAGTCTCAGAGATCAGGGAGGGACACGAGGGAGGAGGAAGAAGAGGGGAGAGGGGAGAGATGGAGAGAGGAAAAGAAAGCAGAGAAATACTCAGGCCTGCGGTGAGCCCAGGAAGGAAGAACCCGGGAGGAGAGAATCAGGAGTGAAAGGCAGGACTAAAAATGGGGGGGAGGGGGGAGAATTGCCAGGAAGGGCTACATCCCAACAAGATACACAGAAACCCCAGTTCTACCTCTTCCTAGTTGTGGCCTTTGGGCAGGTTACCTACCTGACTTACCTCTGCCTCAGTTTCTCATCTGGGAAATGGGAATAATAAGAACATACATACATAAAAAAAAAGAACATACATCTGAATATAACAGCATGTCTGGTGGGTTGTGCTGAGAATTAGGAGTTGGGATTGGCTTTCACCTGTGTCTGGAAAACAGCTCAGTGCATTTTTCTTTTTTCCTTTTTGCTTTTAAATATATTTTCATTAGTTTCAGAGAGGGGAGAAAGGGAGAGAGAGATAGAAACATCAGTGATGAGAGAGAATCATTAATTGGCTGCCTCCTGCACACCCCCCACTGGAAATTGAGCCCAAAACTTGGGCGTGTGCCTTTGACTGGAATCGAACCTGGGACCCTTTAGTCCGCAGGCTGACGCTCTATCTACTGAGCCCAAACCAGCTAGGGCTTTCTTTCTTTTCTTTTCCATTGATTTATTGAGGTGTACTATATATACTATACAATCCACCCATTTGCCCAGCCGGTGTGGCTCAGTGGTTGAGCATTGACCTATGAAACCAGGAGGTCACGGTTTGATTCCCAGTCAGGGCACATGCCCGGGTTTGCAGGCTCGATCCCCAGTGGGGGATGTGCAAGAGGCATCCCTCATCATTGATGTTTCTATCTTGCTCTCCCACTTCTTTCCTCTATAAAATCAATAAAAATATATTTAAAAAAGAAAAAGAAAAAGAAATTTTCTTCCCCTACCTGGATAGAGAAATACACTTACAAGTCCAGGAAACATGGAGTCCCAAACAAGAGGAACACAAAGAGGTTCACACCAAGACACATCATATTTAAAATGACAACGGTTAAAGACCAAGAGAGAATCTTAAAAGCAGCAAGAGAAAAAGCAGTTAGTTACCTATAAGGGAGCGCCCATACAGCTGTCAGAAACTTTGCAGGCCAGAAAGAAGTGGCAAGAAATATTCGAAGTGATGAAAAGCGAGGACCTACAACCAGTATTACTCTACCCAGTAAAGCTATCATTTAGAAATGAAGGTCAGTTAAAGAGCTTCCCGGACAAGGAAAAGCTAAAGAAGTTCATCACCACCAAACTAGTATTACATGAAATGTTGAAGGGTATTCTTTAAGAAGAGGAAGAACAAGAGGAAGGAAGGAAGGAAGGAAGGAAGGAAGGAAGGAAGGAAGGAAGGAAGGAAGGAACCGGGGGAGGCAAGAGCAAACAGTGGAGTCAAGACAGTCTCTTCAATAAATGGTATTGAAAAAACTGGATACATGCCAAAAAAAAGAAAGAAAAGGAAATAGACCACCAACTTACACCATACCCGAGAATAAGCTCAAAATGAATAAAAGACTTAAATTTAAGTCGTGAAACCACAAAAATCCTACAAGAAAACATAGGCAGCAAAATCTCAGACATCTCTCATAGCAATGTATTTGCCTATACATCTCCTAGGGCAATGGTCAGCAAACTGTGGCTCACGAGGCACATGTGGCTCTTTGGCCCCTTGAGTGTGGCTCAAAGGCCAGCTTAGGAGTATCCTAATTAAGTTAATAACAGTGTACCTACCTATATATAGTTTAAGTTTAAAAAATTTGGCTCTCAAAAGAAAATTCAATCGTTGTCCTGTTGATATTTGGCTCTGTTGACTAATGAGTTTGCCTACCACTGGGTTAAGATAAACATTTAGACTTGACTTGGGGTGGTGAACACACAATTCAGTCTTCAGTTGAAGTGTTGCAGAATCGCACACCTGAAACCTGTATAATTTTGTTAATCAGTGTCACCCCGATAAATTCAATAAAAAGGGAGAAAAGATAAACATTTAGCACGATGTTTTCAAGGCCCATCCATGTTGTCAGAGCTTCATTTCTGCACCCCTCACCCCCCATTGATATTTAGAAAGAGAGGAAGGGAGGAAGGGAGGAAGCACGTGAACGGGCCCATGCCCGCAGAGACAGAAGGTGGGGGGAGAGGGCATGGACAGAGCGACCCCTGTTTCTACCTTTTCGGCCTGCCCTTCCACAGAAATTTAAAAAATCACCCAGACTTTAAGTGAGTTTCAACATTTTAATCATTTTTCACTCTGAGAGGGGCCAAGGAAGGGGGATCTAGAGTTCCGGGGAGTGGAAAAGGGGAGGACAGAGGGCCTGGGGTCCCTTCCTTCCGTCCCCAATTCCCTTGTCACTCTTCCCAGTTTTGGAAAGTAGACGCTTTGACATCGACAACTGGAGAGCCAAAGGCTAGCCCAGGATCCTCCTGAACAAATCTATCCGACTCTTTCCAAGTCCTGGAGAAGTCTTGAAAGACCCCCAGATAGGGGTCCATGTGTCCCCAGCCCGTTGCCCTCCAGCCTCCTTCAGAACATGGTGTCCATCCACCAAGCCCTCCCAGACCCTCTTATCACACTGCCTTTGAATTATTTGCACAGACACGCCTTCCCCGTGGATGAGGACGACTCTTTCCAAGTCCTGGAGAAGTCTTGAAAGACCCCCAGATAGGGGTCCATGTGTCCCCAGCCCCTGTTGCCCTCCAGCCTCCTTCAGAACATCGTGTCCATCCACCAAGCCCTCCCCAGACCCTCTTATCACGCTGCCTTTGAATTGTTTGCACAGACACGCCTTCCCCGTGGATGAGGAACTCAGTCCTGTTTACACCCGAGATCCCAGCCTCCCGCACAGAGCCTGGGAGTGTCTACAAAATGAATAACGAACACTGCATTCTGGTCTCCACTTGGGCACCGATCCAGAGCACAATGTGGCCTCCAGAATTTTGTCTGGATCCCCCATCCTGCACCCCAACATGTGCCATCCTCCTCTGCTTATCGGAGTCCCACTCTGGGTCCTGAGCCTCTCCCGGGCTTAATGTCTCAGAGCCCAGCAGGTCTCAGGCCCACAGAGATGACCAAGTGTTGTGTTGAGTAAAACATTTCAGTGGGCTCTAGTGATCACACTGTGCTCCTCGGGGGTTCAGGCTTAGGGACCTCTCTTGGCCTGAACCCAGAAAAACCATCTGATGTCTCCCAGCCTCTCTTCACACCGTGGCTTCCTCCTGATCCCTCTTCCTGCCCTGGGGGCCTGGAGCCAGTTCCTACCGGGCCATGAGCACAGATTACACACATCTCTTCCCGGCTCTGAGTTCAATGACCTCAGACTCGTGCCTTGAACTCAGCCAAGGTGGGAGGATTTACACCACAGAAATTGGCAAACGCTGCCAATCAGGGCTCTTCTCTTCCTGGAGAGCAAGTTTTCAGCCATCTCCCAGCATACACGGCCTCCCACCCACTCTCTTTCACCGCATACCTGGCGAAACCCACGAGTGACAGGCTCCCGGCTCCTGCCTCCCCTGAGCTAGAAATGAAAGGAGTCAGATGAGGAGGAAGAGGCCAGAGCACCAAACTTCCAAGAGTGTCAAAATGCTCGACGCTTCCCTAAAATTCTCACAGTGCTCTTCTCTTTGCTGTGGGTCAAATTATGTTGAAAGAAATATGGTGTTGCCCCAGGCCAAGCACTGTTGTCCGGACCCACAATCGAAACTGCAAGCGAACAGTCTAAAAGAGGAATTGTCTGTTTTAAATGTGGGCCTTCCCGTTGAAAGAAATATGGTGTTGCCCCAGGGAAACATCCTCAGGCCAAGCACTGTTGTCCGGTCCCACAATCGAAACTGCAAGCGAACAGTCTACAAGAGGAATTGTCTGTTTTAAATGTGGGCCTTCCTCCAAATCCGGTTCTCACCCCACCCCTACTTTTGTGTATTTATAGGTCGGGAAGCCTGTCCACCTCTTTTTCTCTATGAAATACCCACAACTAGGGCTGGTCCACCCCTTGAAACTACCCCAGTTCCTCCCATGTTTGGGTGAACGTCACCTTTAGACAACCCTAAACCAAAAGGAAAAAATATACTAGTAGACATGGAGCAGGCAACTTGCCTTCCATTCTCCTACCAAATGTGTCCATTCCCAACGTCCGAATGAATGAATGACCGAACGATGAAGTATCTTTAAGAAGAAACTAAGAAATCGATACTAGAACATAGCAAACAGGCCCCCGTACCTACCATGTAACTGTCATTTGTAAAGTTGGTTATCATCGCCAAATACATGGCCTAAGCTTCCATGATGGGGCCTCTTAAAGTCTACCTTTGGAAGTTCTAGAAGGATCACCAGCCACGTGCTAAAGAAGAGTTTAAAATGGAAAGTTAGGACATCAAACCTCCCTACTGGTTTGTTCAAGGGCATCTCGATTCCAACCTAAACCTTACCCCCAAATCAACTGTGAGTTTGGTTTCGTTCCATCTCGGGGCAAGTTCTCAGTGCCAGTTTCTGGAGTCTGGGGCTCATGTTTGAAAATGCCCGTTAGAATCGGTGTGAGATGGTGCTGGGTTGAGAGAATTACTGAGCCCTGCTGAAGGGGCCCCTCTCCCAGGGAGGAAAGGGGTGGACTGTGTTGTGTTAAGCTTCTCAGGAAGTCAAAGTGGCCACAGCCTTTGGCAGGATGGCTGGCTCCTGCGGCTTTCTCAGAGCTGCCGTCCGAGTACCTGCGCTTCAGGGAGGAGACTTAAACAAGAGGTGGAGACGTCGCTTCTATAAGATCTGAAACTTCCAGGCACTCTGATCTTTGTAGTCCAGAGGATCCATGGGGTTGTAGGCAAATTTCCAGGTGCCTGTAGGGTCCTTGAATTCCAAGCTGTCCATAGGGCTGTAGGCGCCATAGCTCTGGCCTGACAGGGAGGTGGGTGACTGGGCCAGGGAGGGGCCCATGGTGGGGCCAGAAAGGGGGCTGAGAGCCGGGCCCCCCAACTGGGGCACCATGGGAGAAAGATAGGGATCCAGGCCACTGAAGAAGGAGCTGGGAGACCCATAGGCTGAGGGGGAAGAGCAGAAAGCAGAGGCTGGGGTGTAGGTCATGGCGTAGGGTGCTGAGGTCAGAGAAGGCCCTGAGGCCACTAGCCCAGCCCTCTGGGCCTCGGGCAAAGGGGACTCTGAAGCTGGACTCCAAATGGACACAGTGGCCACTCCCGCAGTGGGGGAGCCTGAGGGGCCAGGCAGAGGGGGGCTGTAGGAATCTGAGATGCCCAGAGGGTCTGGACAGACATCAGTGGAGGGCCTTGGGGATGTGCCCGCCTTCCTCTTGGCAGGACGAGCCTTGGCTTGCGCCCCTGGGGGCTGCTGCTGCTGTTTCTGCTGCTGCCGCTGCTGCCTGCACTTAGCCCTGCGGTTCTTGAACCAAACCTGGGGGGTAAGAAGAGAGTGCTTTTGGGGTGGGGGGTGAGTGGGCAGAAGGCCCTCATGGTGCTCAGGAATGATGCTGCTTATTGGTGAGACACGCCAGAGTCATACCTCTTCACTTTGCAGTCAGATATGGGCCACTCCATCCATCCATCCAACCACCCAACCATCCAACCATTCATACATACAATTGTACATATATACGTTCATACAAACACACATCTGTCCACCCATCCAGTCATTCATATGCACATAAATACATTCATCCATCCAATGCATACATACAGTCACACAGATATACATATAACTGTGCACACATACACACATATCCATCCAATCACGTGCGCATGCATACAATCATCCAAACACACACATATATATTCATCCATTCAATCAGTTAATACACATTCACTAACCGTCTTCTACATCAGTGAAGCTGACATTCTAGCTGAGAGAGACAGGTTATAAACTGTATGCCAGTAAATCGCAGAGTATTTTAGAAGGTGATAAATACAATCGAAGAACCAATTGAGCAGCATTAGGGGGAGCAGTAGCGTTGGCGGGAGGGGAGAATTGCAACTGTAAATCTGACCGTTGGTATAGGTCTCACTGACTGACACAGTGACTTGATTGGCTGGTAAAGATCTTGAACAAGCCGAAACCGGTTTGGCTCAGTGGATAGAGCGTCGGCCTGCGGACTGAAGGGTCCCAGGTTCGATTCCGGTCAAGGGCATGTACCTGGGCTGTGGGCACATCCCCAGTGGGAGATGTGCAGGAGGCAGCTGATCGATGCTTCTCTCTCTTCCAGGGAGAGGGAACAGAGAGTGCAAAGGTCCTGAGGCAAGAGTGTGCTTGCAGGCGTGTTAGAGGAGGAACGGGGGCCAGTGGCTGGAGTGGAGTGGGAGGGGTAGGAGTGGGAGAGACAAGGCCAGTGAGGGGGTGAGGACTTTAGGCCCCTTTATGACTGACGGTGGCGGTCACTCTGGGACCTCTCCTTCCTCTCCTCACTCTGGGCCCCAGGAAGGGCTGGGAGGGGCCCAGGGAACGGAAATCCCACCTGAACCCTGGACTCCGGCAGATTGATTTTCAGGGCCACCTCCTCGCGGGCGTACACATCTGGGTACTGGGTCTTGGCAAACAGGGCCTCCAGCTCCTCCAGCTGGCTCCGGGTGAAGGTGGTCCGCTCCCGCCGCTGCTTTCTCGGGGCGCCTTGGGAAGGGGGGGCAATGGAGCTCTCAGGTGACCAGGCCTCCCATTCTCTTCCTCAGCTGGTGTGAGGCCCTGAGGGTGCATGGGACCCCAAGAAGCCCTTTCTGGGTGTTCATCTGACCTTCTAGACCTCCCTCTGACCCCCTTTTGCCTGTCATATTGGGGCTCATGCCTCACCCCGAGGAGAACTAGCTTTAGCCTTGCAGGGAGGTGTATGGATTTATTTTTTTGTCCCCGTTCCAAAATTCCTTAGGCACTAAGACACAACGTTGTGGATATCCAACCATTTCTCCCCCATCACGGTCCGTAATGTTCAATTTAATGGGGAAAAAAGCCCAGCTAACAGATAATACCCCCAAATGGAGAGCTCACTTCCCTAACAGATTGGAATCCCGCTGGGTGCCCGGTCCAGATCGCTCCCTGCTCCCCCACCCTACCGGAAGCTGGTCCATCCTTGCTGCTTGACACAGTCGCTGCAGGGAAGAAATATCTGCACAGCATATGTTTCAAGGGACCTGGCGTATATGGCATACTGTTCTTAATGTTTGCTCACCTTCTTGGCGCTATGTGTTTTAACAAAGGTCATCTCTCTAAGAAAGGTTATTTCCCCAGGTAGTGATTT